TATTTAGGTGTAAAGTTCTGTGCCAAGAAAAAGTGATCGACTCGGTGATATGATCGACTCGCTGATAAACCACGTTATTTAAATATAAAATAGTAATAAATCTTAAACTATTTATAAGTAAATAGTCTTAAAACTATTTTATATTTAGATAGTTATAAATATAAACTATTTATAAATAAAATAATTATAAAATAGTTTTAAAACTAACTTATTTAATATTTGTGACAGACGTGCTTCAGGTAGAACTCAGAACAATTAACACTCTATTCTTAGGACAAAAGACGAGGAAAGTAGGAGAGCTCGAGAGAGCTGGGAACTAAATACAGGTCGTGCGCGCTAGCGCCTCGCTAAGCGAGCATGTGACATCCAGCCCTCGTGACCATAACCGTCACAATATTAAAATAATTATTAGTTTAAACTATTATACTTTTAAATAATCTTAAGACTAGTTTATATTTAAACAGTTATTAATTCTAAACACTTTCGCTTTTAGATAATCTTATATTAGTTTAAAACTAAAATAGTTTTTATAATAAATAATTCTAAAATTAAAATAGTTTTATAATTTTAAATTACCTAGAAATAGTTTTGTAATAGTTTTACTTTTTTAGATTATTCTATAACTATTTAAAAAACTCCGCTTTCCCTTCTAAAATACTTATTTTAAAAGAGCTTATAACTCTTTTACTGTTATTTTATAACTATACTACTTATCATAATAAAACCTAGTAGTATGTCACGAATCACGTGTTAGCATGTGACGAGTGAAGACCGGGCGGCGTCCTGACAGGTTAAGCACTATCATGCTCTTATAGCGAATAGGGATCGGCTAGACTAGCTAAGCGATCCAAGGATTTCATTATAGTCACGTGACGGATCTTTGGATCTGGATGGATCTTGGGGCTGCTGGGATCCAACCAGATCCATGAGCAAGAAGGTTCTATATAACACTGGCATGTCTGCCATTAGATAGGAGCTTCGTGCTCAACTTAGTTATCAATCTTATCATATTAGTTTGACATCTTTGATACAAGTAACGAGTTCACTTCCAAGTGAACAACCCGATAGTCTTCTTCTTATCATAGCATACCAACCAGCGAACACCCAGCCAAGTTTAGTTAGCCAGTTTGAGTATTCGTTACATAGTATTTATAAAGTATATTTAGCTTTATAAATACTAGTTTAGTACGTTTTAATAAATAGCATGGTTATAAAGTAATAGTAAAAATACTATAAGCTAAATTCTATTTAAAGAAAGTAAAAATAGCTACTTTTAGCTTTAATATAATACATCGCTATTTTAGTAGAAAGTATACCCCCCTAAAAATAATACTATATAAAACCTTAATGTTAAAAGTATTATACCTAGGTCTTAGGGTATCACTAGGAGCGTACAAAAGACTGATCCAGAATATGGTTGAGATTGATCGCGAGTCAGCTAAGAAGTCCTAGAGCTAGCTATTACTTATACACGACAAGAGGCCACGCTATTCCCCATTAGGCAGCTCCATACTATCTCCGATTAGGCAACTCCAACCCACTATTGCATTCACTAAGCGAAGCACCAAAACACTATACCGAGCCACATTCACGCCCTCACACTAGGAACCAGAAGTACGTAGCTCTTATATTAGTAGTATACTAGGGCTTTAGATTCTTTATTAAAAAGTTAATTTAGAGCCTATAGCCTAAATAATCACCATTTTCCCTCAGACCCTCAAATAAAGGCTGGTTGTGGTGGTAGGTGGCTTGGTGGCGTTGTACGCGGGCCGGGGGTCGGCTGCGGGCCTGGATGGGAGCGGGTGAGTCACGTGGGGGGGAGCGGGAGGCCACCACTTGAAGCCTTTGTAAAGAGGGTCTGGGTGCTGAGATAAACATAGGTATCACCTAAGTAACAAATTACATCAACCAGCCTCAAATTCCCAACTTCAATCCATTCATTTCATTTCATTTCATTCAAATCATCCCAATAATACAACTATACTACAGTAGTCCTACAAAAAAACACACCCAATAACCTCAAGCAATCCATTATCAGAGGACCCTTTCTCAACCACTCCCTTAGATATCCCCAACAATATGCGGTTCCTGGTGGATAGGTGTGCCGCTGGGTAGTGGTAGTGGTAGCAGGCCAGGCAACAAGATATGATTCCCGATATCTTTATTCTTCCTCGTGTTAAGGGTTCTCGTTGCCGGCGGACTGCGCTTGGGACGGGCGGCGAGATCGAGATCGCGTTTTGTTTCCGTGTCTTCGTTGTCCTGCCTGCTATTGAGTTCGTTGAGAAGTTTATCGAAGCCGAATGGGTGAGAAGTGGTCTTGGAATCCACTGGATTTACTCCCTGAGGATTGGCAGCTCTGGTCTTTAAGCCCTCGAACCCGATGGGATTATCATTCGCAGGTTCTCCGGTGAGTTGAGCTCTCTTGTCGGTTGACGACGAGCGAAGGATTTTTGGAGGTGGCCTCTCTGCCTTGAGCCCTTCGTCTTCGTTCCGAGTCTCCAGTTGTTCGTCCCTCTTCGCTGTCGTATCTACACTTCTCCCTTCTTTGGCTTCTCGTCCAACAACGTTGACCGCTCCCCCAGTGAAGGTGGGATTGTTCGAGCCAGGTGCGGTCCCAAATTCTGGCGCTTCATCAGAATGGTCGTGCCTCTTCGCTGTCGTATCCACACTTCTCCCTTCCTTAGCGGTCGGATCGTTGAGGATAAGAGATTCTGACTCTATATAATTGGCTTCTCGTTTAAAGTTCGGCACTGGTGCAGAATTGGGTTTATTACTTTTAATGATAAGTGTTAGTGGGAGGATAGAGGAATGAGATAGGTGGTAAAACGTACAGTTCGGTCGAGTTGGGGTTTGGAACGGTTGGAATGGGCTTAGCAACATTGGGCTTAGCAATGGGCTTAGCATTAGCCGAGAGGACCGAAGCGAGGAGAAGAAGGGTAGTTGGGATGTTGGTGAACTTCATGATTGCAATGATTGTATAGTATTGGAAGTGCCTTGCTCAAACAAAAAAACAGAAATCGAAAGTTGGTAAAAGACAGAATCCAGCTGCTTGTAGTAAAGTGCTGATAGTGAAACAGTAGACTTGCTGCAGCTCCTAAAAGAAAAAAGTGGGGGGTGAAAGAATGAAATGGTAAGAAACGTCCCCTGTAAGGAAATGTCTCGCAATTATATATACTGGACAAGATGGTCGACTTCAAAGCACGCCTACTTGGCAGGGTTTCGTATTCGGAGTTGGCCACGGCCAATCATGAAATCAGCATCTAACAATTTTGCGGTCTTCAACGGCAGGATAAATTACAATCGAACCAGTTCTCAGGGGGCACGTTTTGGCAAAGGAAAGCCCATTCAACCTTGTGGGTACAAATAGAGTTTGACCAATGAAAGTCATGGGATTGCTCGCTTAGGGTGTTCGGACGATGATGGTCGCTGCTTGTACAATTAAGGTTTGGAGGGGCCATGAAGATCGGACTGAACTGTAACGGCTGGGCTTGCCACGTCTGTATCACAGCAGGCAATGTGGTGTAACATATTGTAGACCGCCCCAATTAGTCAGCCTAATCTTTCATCAGAAGCACAACAATTATGTCGGACATTCGGGATTCCTGATTCTTGGTCATTTTTATCGATTGCTCAAAATAAATTGAATAAAAATGAGTCAGAGGAAGGTGTGATAACGTTGATATATGACCAATTTGCTGCTTACTTGTTTTTTGGGCCCTACTAAGATGAATCTTTTTTTTTTTTTTAAATCACCTGGCCTGGAAAAAGGATCGGTATATTTTGGGAGTAAAGTTGCTACAAAGAAGTTTTATATTTTTGTTGTTTCTTTCATTTTGATACATAACTCACCCAGTAAGTTCTATTTTGGCTAGCATGAGTTGGTCTATATTAATCACAGCAGAAACTCGATTTCTATCGAGTGAAAATAGTAAGCCATAGAGAAAAGGCAGATGGTAAGGAAAATCACTTTACTCGTTACGTTCATGAAATTTATGGATTAGAATCTGTGGTAAGGAAGCTCATATAGACAAAGTTGGAGATTAAGAAGGTTTCCGGAATTAGTGGTTTTTGAATCTTCTCGAAAATAACGATAGCCACAGAAACAAAATATTTTTGAGAACGACCTATTCGTAATGAAGCCCTCGCAGTAACATGTGATCCACGCCACTAGAATCCAGCGTGGAGTTTTTGGGCCTTTCTTCTTCTCTCCTCCTCATCATCAGTCTTTCTCGCTGTTCCAGCGCCTCCTCCTCCTCCTCCCCTACTTCCACTAATTGCACCTCTACCACCACCACCACTGCCTCTTCCCCCTCCACCGCCACCGCCACCTCTTCCTCCTGCACCTCTGGCCTCGCGGGCTTCAATCCGGACAGTGTCTCTGCTAAACACGCTTTTGATTTTGTCAGCTATGGTCGGGCTTTTTGGCTGAGAATTTGGCTGAGGTCTTGGCTTTGGCTTGGGTTTTCCCCCATAATTGATGATTAGGAGAGGGCCTTCTGTTCGCACGTAGGGCACAGGCCTGCTGGGTCTGAAGTAACTGGTTGGAAAATGCAAACTGGGATGTTCTGGGAACTTACTCGCGAGTTTGGAGTTCGTTTGCTGCTCCATCTGCAACGGGAAGAGCGTTGGCCCCAAGAACGGATGCGATGAGGAGGACACAGGTTGGGACTTTGAAAAGCTGCATCTTGACGGTGAAAATAAATATCGATTAGGTTGAGAACAAGAATCGATTAAGTTGAGAAGAAGTAAGTAGTGTTATATAACGGGTCCCTTGAAAAAGAATGTGGCTGAAAAAGAGTGTAATAAAATAAGAAATAAATAAAGGACTCAAAAGTGGGAAGAGAACGGGTGGTGAGAAAAAAATTCTCTCACCTGGCTTTCCTCTTCAATATATACTGCAATACGAACTCATTTGAGGAGGTTTGTACCTGCTCGCTTGGCTTCCCCTTGGGCAGGGGTTCACGAAACGAATAGGGGGGAGGGTGGGGAATGGCTGAACCTGCCATGTTCTTGGATAAGGGCCCTCACATTTGAATTAGATAACGTTCTAAATGCTTTTTCTTCGGTATATTCTTATCTAAACTCTTCCTTATCTTCCATGTTCCCCTCACAGTTTATCCTAAGCTTCTTACCAGTTCAAACTAATTCCATCAGACACGCTTCAACATAGCTTTACATGAAGTTTACAGTACAGTTAAGGTACGGTACTCTGGATTTGTATTCCAGTGATACTAGCAATGACCCTGTAGAATGTGGATTAGGGGCAAGACTTTATAGGCTCCTCTTGTCAAAGTTTTCAGCCTTAGGAATTTTCAAGAACAAAAGGCAAGATGGTGGGGGCGGGGTCACCGAGAAGGACAATGACGTTGGTCCAAAAAGTCTGCGATCGAATTTTCAGTGATAGTATCGATAGTCAAGTTCGTTCCAAGACGTGGACAAAGTCTGATCGATATCCGTGCTAAAGCTGTATAGATAACAAGTGGCGAGAGAGAGGGACTGAGTGATGTCATTGCTAATAAAAGTCAGTTCGCAAGATATTCCATCTTGTACTTACAAGCAATTAGTGAAAAATTGAGCGTGGTTCATGCGATATATAAGCCGTCGCGTTCTGGTTAGACGCCTCGGATTAGCATTATACCTAAGCTACTCCTAAATTATCTTTATTCCATTATTATACAACTTATTATTCGATACTCACTCGTCATTGAAATGCCTCTAATCGATTCAAACCTCATGACATTCTTTAACCTCATTTATATACACGTCAATAAAGGTTGTTACTACTACTCAAAATCGATGGCAAGACTTTTCTAGTCGACGGCCCCAACGATCCAAGTATTTGATTTACAGGAGAATAAATGTCGGCGGTTGCTAAACAAAAATAGCAGAAGGCTCCAGCGAAATAAATTTAGCATGATGTCCCCAAGGTTGCTGCACCATGTCGGTGGTTTCACGGCTTACCCGGTTGAAAATCATGCTGGAGTTCCTCTTGGCAATCCCTTTTATAGACACGGTGAACTTGTGGAGCGTAATTTGACGGACCGGAGTCTTGGGATCACACGGCAATTGAATTTTGCCATGGCTCAACAGATCCTTATCTGAGAAAATTAAGGAATTGATAGAAATCACAATCCACCAACCTCTTGTGAGCGGTTTTTCAAGAGCAGCATCAGCCAAGAATTCAGCATCACCTAATGGCAACACCACTTTGTATCATACTCAAGTCCATTATAGATTACGAGTAAGCGGAAAATGAATGAAAGCCGTGGCGGGTCTCGATTTAGTAGTCGATTTATACTTCGCTTATCATTTGGTGCTTTGAATGGCTTGGCATGGGTCAAATATTGACTGCAATATCAATTACTTCTGACAAACATATTCTGATTTACCATTACTAAATAAAGGAGAGGGTATATTTTTTCTTTGCTTGTAGAAACAGCTAATGGTAACACTACATTATAGACTCACAGAGTTATAAAGTTACCCTGGTAATTAAGGGTGATAAATCCTGCAGAAAACAACGATGTCCAATCCATTTGTCTAACATATACAAAGTGGAATACAGAAAAACCTGGTTATAAGGATATTCGCGGGGGTAAGTTTCGTAAGGGTATAACCGAGGTTATCCTTATATCTAGTATCCTTATAGCCAGGTTTTTCTGTATAATCGTTAGTACGTCTTCCTACTGCGCTCAGTCGCTTATAGTTAGCGGAAGCAAGTATAACGTAGAAGCAAGTATAATGTAAAGGGTTAATATTATTATATTACTGTTATTTTCTAAGTGTAACGAATACTCAAACTGGCTAACTAAACTTGGCTGGGTGTTCGCTGGTTGGTATGCTATGATAAGAAGAAGACTATCGGGTTGTTCACTTGGAAGTGAACTCGTTACTTGTATCAAAGATGTCAAACTAATATGATAAGATTGATAACTAAGTTGAGCACGAAGCTCCTATCTAAATGGCAGACGTGCCAGTCTTATATAGAACCTTCGTTCTCTGTCTAATCGCTTCAGTCGCCTGAGTCGCCTGTCGACTGAAGCGACTGAGGCGAGCGACTAAAGCGATCATGGTCACGTGGTACTTTAATCCGACGAAATCCATGGATCGCTTAGCTAGCCTAAGGATCCCCTTCTGCTATAAGAGTTATGATAATGCTCGACCTGTCAGGGCGCCGCCTGGTCTTCACTATCTCCCGTGGTAACACGTGATTCGTGACAGGTGGACGGGGCGCTATATCGTAGTTAAGAGCGATATGTGTGTGCCTAGCGTTGCACTTGCTTCCGCTGACTACCTAGGTATAAGCAACTAAGCGCAGTAGGAAGACGCACTAACTATTACTCTTTAGCATTTCCACTGTGATCACGTCGAATTTATATCAGGCTTCTTTGCAGTTAATCAGTGATCAATCGCAGAGTCTTCATGAGAAACTAGTGCTCTTTTCTTTTTGCTTACTCTTAGACATCATCTCGTAATTACGGGGAATAGGTACCTAGTCTCCTGTAATATTGGGTTTTTCGAGTATACTCGAGCCTAATGGTAGTAAAACTTCACTTTGCACCCAAGAACCACCTGAGGGATATTTGTCGGACTCTAGTATATCTTACTAGCCACTTGTGAGACTCGCGGTATTTTTCTTGACTTGAAATCGTCCAGCTAAAAGAAGAACAGCGTCACGAATCACGTGTTCACGTGATACCTGTCATAATAAGAGGCGCAACCCTCGACAGGCACATCCAGGTTTCTTATAGCAAATAGGGATCGTTTGGAGTAGCTAAGCGATCCAGGGATTTCTCTGTATTGTTATCACGTGATATTAGGAGTTCACCAGTTAGCCGGGCGAACAGGCGAAGTTAGCCAGTTCGATTGTCGAACGAGCGAACATCGAGAGAACGAAGGTTCTATATAACACTGGCACGTCTGCCATTAGATAGGAGCTTCGTGCTCAACTTAGTTATCAATCTTATCATATTAGTTTGACATCTTTGATACAAGTAACGAGTTCACTTCCAAGTGAACAACCCGATAGTCTTCTTCTTATCATAGCATACCAACCAGCGAACACCCAGCCAAGTTTAGTTAGCCAGTTTGAGTATTCGTTACAAGCAGTGGTGAATCTAGACGCTTCTCGAACTTGCTACGGCAAAGAATCAGTCAGGTTCTTAATACACCACTTTTACCAAACTACATTCCTTGTTAATCATGATGTAAAGGGTGTTCAAAAGAAGCCTTTTCTATAATATTGATTAAAAAGTATTAGCGAAGCGAGTAAACATGCTCGAAGTCCTCCCTAAGATTACAGGTCAACTCTAATTTTTAACGAAACTAGCGAGTTCGAGACTTAGATCGGGGCGTTGAAGATTCTTCTTATATGTAATCGACATACTAGGTAGTGACCGTTTAATCCATTTATATCTAATATCTGATAAAAGCTACTTAATCTAGGTTGTTAGTAGGTTCTAATGAATGGTTTTCATTATATGGACTAAGTAGTCTGGCTACATCCATTGGCTTCATTCGGTACGATTCTAGTAATAATGGGGAGCTTACTCTAGGGTTATATAACCCTAGCTACTGTCCAAGGTAGTTAACTGGATAGTTATTAGAATATAACTCTTTCCCAGTTATCCTGGCACTCTTAGCACTCCACACACATGTTCCATGCAATAGATTATATAGACTGTGAATACATACGACAAGCTTCTTAGTGTATGATTTTACAATAATTTAGATAGCCGTCAATATTTAATAGAAACGAGAAAACTCCGTTATATGTGTGGGGTTTGAGTCGGGTCACGTGATCACACGTGACCCTCTATGCCAGTTGTGACAGTCTTTCTTTTGGAACGAACGGTACTCCTTTCTATACTCCGTATAAGAAAAAGACTCTGAAGGGTAGAACAAGTAAATAAGCCACGTCAAAGAAGTGGATCCAGTGATATGAGAAGTGCTTCAACATGAACACACAGTCCGATCGTAAACAGATGGAACCATCAGGGTAAGTTGATTATTTGTTATTATACGGACACTTCGTTCGAGTTTTTTTTTTCGTGAAAATACTCGGAGAATACGGTAAGTAGAAAAGAAAATAGTGAACTATGATACTTGTTAGCTTCAGAGTATATAAGAATTAAGTCTTTATAGTGAGGTCAGGTGAGGTTGATTAGTAAAAGTTTTGTCGACCAATCAGAAGATTTAGCATTTTTTGGATTAATTCTCTGATTGGTCGAAAAAACTCTTACTAATCACACCTTACTATAAAGACTTAACTACTATATACTCTGAGGCCAACAAGTAGTAGATACTTCCTAGGAATGGCTTTTCTAAGCATAATTCCCGAGCGCGTATACCTTGCTTGAGCATTTGGCATTGTTGGGAAATCCCCTCCACTTCAAAGTATAACGTACTTCATAAGGAGTCCGGATTTATAAGCAGTCCGGATTTTTTACCCCACCATTGACCACCCTACACACTTTCAATCTACATAACTTACCCAATTATTGTTCAAATGTCTCGAAAAGAAGGTCAAATTGCTCTTGCAATCAGTGCATACAATAAGGGTCAATTTATAAGCTTAAAAGCAGCTTGTACAAGGTACGATGCGCCATATTCTACTACTTACGACCGCGTCAAGGGAGCTATTCCACAACGCGATTTCCGACCCCGAAACCAGAAACTCACCGACCTCGAGGAATCAGCACTTATACAATGGATGTTATCAATGGAAGCTAGAGGTCTGCCAGTACGGAAAGATTCGATACGCCAAATGGCCGATTTACTACTGGAAAAGCGAACTGGAGTAGGTCGAATTATTGTCGGAAAATGCTGGGTTGACAACTTTATAAAGCGCCACGACTCTTTACGGACGAAATACACTCGTAAATACGACTATAAGCGCGCAAAATGCGAGGATCCTACGATTATCCGAGATTGGTTTCGATTAGTACATAATATTGTTGCGAAATATGGTATACTAGCGGAGGATATATACAATTTCGACGAGACTGGCTTTCAGATGGGAGTAATTGCGACCGCAAAAGTTGTTACAGGGTCAGAATATACAGGACGGGCTATTCATATACAACCAGGGAATCGCGAATGGGTTACAGTTGTCGAATCAATTTGTGCAGATGGATGGGTGTTGCCTCCAATGGTTATATTTGAGGGCAAGGTGCATATATCGACTTGGTATACAGATCAATTACCAGCAGATTGGACAATTGCACTTAGTGATAAAGGGTGGACCAATGATTCCTTAGGTCTTAAGTGGCTTTCAGACGTATTTGAGAAATATACCAAGGACCGTGTAAAAGGAGTATATCGACTTTTAATCCTCGATGGCCATGGTAGTCATTCTACTCCCGAATTCGATCTTTTCTGTTCAGAACATAACATCATAACGCTTTGTATGCCACCGCACTCATCTCATCTTTTACAGCCATTAGATGTTAGTTGCTTTGCAGTTTTAAAGCGACTTTATGGACGAGGAGTCGAGGAGCTAGTACGAGCCGGCACATATCATATCGATAAACCAGACTTCCTTTCAATATATCGTGTAGCCCGTACAAGTACTATGGTCAAAAACACAATCTGTAATGGATTCGCAACTACTGGCCTTGTCCCGTACAACCCAGATCAAGTATTGAGTAAATTACATACTCAATTACATACGCCTACTCCTCCTTTACTTTCTCCAAACCTACTACCTTGGGTCCCTGAGACACCCCATAATACATATGAGGCAGATCAGCAAACCCAGACAATTAAAGCATCTATTAAACGACGTACAAACGTTCTCTCAAGCCCTACTGCTATTGCATTAGATCAATTGGTTAAAGGGTGTAAGATGGCTATGCAATCAGCTACGGTTTTGGCAGAGGAAAATCGACGTTTACGAGCTGAATCTGAACGTCAAAAGAAGAAGAAGACTGTGCGACGTCAATATATTGCTACTGGGGGTGTTCTTACAGGTCAGGAAGGGAGGGAACTTATTCAAAATAGTGATAATATGGTTTTGGATGAAGCTGTGGCCCCGCTAATTGAACCACGAATTCGTGCACCACGAACCTGTATTATATGTAGATCACTAGCGCATACTGCTCCTAGGTGCCCAGATCGAGAATAAGAAAGATAGTATAGTTTATATAAATAAATAATAAGTGGTTAAAGTTCTATGGTTTTTAAAAGTTGGATGGTGGGGTAAAAAATCCGGACTGCTTATAAATCCGGACTCCTTATGAAGTACGTTAACTCCATTGAACTGACGTAAACTTCGGACAGTAGGATACGGTCGCGGTCAAGTTTATACTGTACTGTACTCGAGTACGGGGCCAAGGATGAGCCCCACCATAGTAGGCAAGGATTCATGGCTACAATTTCAACACACTACACTCACTATTCCTTTTAATTTTACCTTCATTTTCCAAAATAGGCAATTGAAGAGTAAGACTTACCTATATCCAATTCGGTTGCGAGGCTTGGAAGGCGATCACCTTGTTTCTACAACTCTTGTGAATTAAACCAACATACATTTCGTAGGTTTCCTGACTTGTTCATCGAAAAGTTGAGAAATAATACATGACCAAGTCCCAAAATTAACGTTCGTTTCATCCGGAAGCGAGGAACACTACTTCCGCGATTCTGCATTTTTTACGTAAACTATGCTTGAAATCACTCAGACGCTCCACCCCGAATATCTGCTAAACCGAATCGAGAGCATAAGTTCAGTAGGAGAATGTTAGGGGCTATTTCGGATCAAGTTGATCGGAGGTTGATAGATTATGTCTAAATTAGTACGTGGTAAACTTGGCAGAACCTTCGATAGATTGGAGGTTTGAAGAGCTTATTTTGCTAGAAACTGAGCCTGAGACAAAGCTTTTTCCCTTGTATTCTTATCTTCCGCTAGCCTATCCTGGACTCTTAAATGCCGCTTTCCCTGTTTTTACATAATAGACTTTATAGACCGCCAGCAACAGCATAATCTTCTCCCCAAAAAGTGCACGTCTAAGAAGCACTAGAGGAAGCGGCCAAGATACAGTGCAAGGGCAACCCTGTGTCACCGCCATCCATTCATCTATATAACAATCGCTCCAAGCTCCAATCTCCCTTGCCTCCCAGACACGATTACTATCAATCATCACTATCAAGAATATCTTCCAAGTCAAACAACAATACCTCAATATGAAGTCCATTTCCCTCTACTTCGCGCTGGCTCTTGCCTACGCTAGCATGGCATTCGCCCAAAACTGTAACGTTATCACATGCGATGACTGGTGTGCAGGTGTAAGTAGTCCTCTCTCTACTATCTCTTACCACTTCTCTGCCACTATTGACTTAAAGTGTTAACGTGTCGTTCTTCTTGTCGTAGCGACCTGTAGGCAACTGTGCCTCACAGAGAGGACTCTCAAATGCCAACTGTAATTGCTCAAGATAAATTCCCCCAGGGACTCAAGGGCGGAGTGTGGGTGGTGGAAGGAAGTGAAATGCTTGATGGGTTCTTTGGCTGGTGCACTTCATGACGGCACCCTTTCTGTACCCAATCTATAAAGTTCTTACACACCAAGAATCTGTTCAACTGCTATGTTAGTGGGCAAAGTTCCCGGATATATGATAGATATACTTTTGGAAAGGATGGTTGAAGGGGGATCCCAGCATGTTCGTTTGGAACCAATGTACAATAACGAATTGTTTTTTCAGCAAGCTCTCCCATCAAGGCTTCTAAAAGATACCGTAGCAAGTAGGTTTATAATCTGTATAACAAGATAAACGACGACCAGGGAGAGGGTTCCCATATCTAGGCTATGAATTATCTTGTCATTCCAACAAGAGAACCACTCCAGATTATCCCTTATGGTGCCTCTTGTTTAAATACAAAATCACATCTTTTTCTTTCTGTTTCCCAATTAATAGCCAAACATGGAAACAAACATAAAGCTGTAACTAGTATTGTCTCAATCCGCTCTTCCATGTTTTGCTGGAACGAAGTTGTTCAGATTCAAAATCCGCCTTTCCTATACATTTATATACTTACCTAGTAGTTTTTGAATCCAATTAGATCAATTACGATATAAGTAGAAGTAAAGTACCGCTAAAGAAGAGAGAAAAAGGCGGTGATAAATATGACAGTACTAGGTAGTGAAGGTCGTATTATGGTAAGTGACTAGTGGTATGACCTAATATTCTTGTTGAGTAGATATTACTTTTATATACGATAGGGTGATAATCATCGTGAGCACTGAGGCATATGCTTAGAGCAGGAGGTTGTAACGAAGACTACCTATGTCAATAATTATTGACTCAGACTACGCGAAAAAACTTCCATGTCCGTACATCAAATTAACCTATCCAAACCAGTAATACGGGGTATAGAAATATAAAAGCGGGAGATGATATACACCCACGTGCCATATGTTTATCTTGTAGCCTAGAATTATTTGAATATCAAAGACGCGGCATGTCGTAAGCTCAGCAACAACATTTGGTAGCCTAGAAACACTTCTGATGGCCGTTAGAAGAGTGGAGTGGAATGTGATTGTTCTCATCACAGAAATTTAAGCCTTACGAAGTGGAGAGGTTTCGTCCACAGGGTCAGTGTGATGGAGAGAGATACAAATAATCATACAAAACCGATTCACCAACCAACCCACTTTATATATTTATATCTAGAAAAAGAGAATCAATATATGATACATCATATCATACAACAGAGCTGGTTAGATTCTTTGTACATCAAAGTAATTTTACCTATACCAATGTTGACTCACAAAATGGTGGTGTTGGAGCCCAATCACCCAAGCCGCAGTTGAGCCACATTTGAGACAAGACAAGGCGACCAGCAGCCAAGCTACGTATGCATCCTCACCCTCCAAACCTCAGGAAATCCAGACACCTCAACCCCTCAAAACCAGACCACTCCCACTTGGCCTTTGCTAATACAGATCTGTACACATATAAAGCTGGAGGACACATCTGCTGCTACCACTCTCATCAAAACTACAACACCTCACATCATGGCGTCCGCGCAAGGCGGTATCTCAGACCCTGGTCTCATCACGTCGGTTTCCCCTCAACCACCATTTGTGTTGCGCATGTGCTAATAAGGTCTGCAGACTGGTGAACAAGCTCCAGGATGTATTTACTACAGTCGGTGTGCAAAACCCTATCGATCTGCCTCAAATCGTAGTGGTGGGAAGTCAGTCGAGTGGAAAGAGTTCCGTGCTTGAGAATATAGTAGGAAGAGACTTGTGCGACGGCCACCTCATCGAGATGGGGTTTGAGCTGACTTGTAAATCATAGTTTACCTCGAGGAACGGGCATCGTAACGAGACGGCCGCTCGTTCTCCAACTGATCAATCGACAACCAGCCTCAGAAAAGCCAAATGGCGTTGCGAAGGATATGACGACAGGAGGCGATAAGGAAGCAAACGTTGATGAATGGGGAGAGTTTTTGCATATACCAGGCCAGAAGTTTCACGACTTTCACAAGATTCGAGAAGAGATTGAGAAGGAAACCGAGGCAAAGACGGGGCGAAATGCCGGAATCTCTCCAGCACCTATCAATCTACGAATATACTCTCCAAACGTCCTCACACTTACCCTCGTCGATTTGCCCGGTTTGACAAAGGTTCCAGTCGGAGATCAACCCAGAGATATTGAGAGGCAGATTAAGGAAATGGTGTTGAAGCAGATTAGCAAGTCAAATGCCATCATATTGGCGGTGACAGGTGCAAACACCGATTTGGCGAATTCCGATGGATTAAAACTCGCACGCGAAGTCGATCCAGAAGGTCAACGAACGATCGGTGTTCTTACCAAAGTTGATTTGATGGACGACGGAACCGATGTAGTGGATATTTTGGCAGGTCGTATCATTCCCCTTCGATTAGGGTATGTGCCAGTCGTCAACCGAGGACAGAGAGATATCGACAACAAGAAGGCGATCACAGCAGCGTTGGAAAACGAGAAGAACTTTTTCGAAAACCACAAGGCATATCGAAACAAGAGTTCCTACTGCGGAACCCCATATCTGGCGAGAAAGCTGAATCTCATCTTGATGATGCATATTAAGCAGACCCTTCCAGATATCAAGGCTCGCATTTCTGCATCTTTGTCCAAATATACGCAGGAGCTGGCCGGTCTCGGAGATTCTATGCTTGGAAATAGCGCAAATATTGTGCTCAACATCATTACGGAATTCACAAATGAATGGAGAACAGTACTAGAGGGAAGCAACACGGAACTATCAAGTGTGGAGCTTTCTGGCGGTGCTAGAATCAGTTTTGTCTTCCACGAACTGTATTCTAATGGTGTCAAGGCGGTTGATCCCTTTGATCAAGTCAAAGATGTCGATATTAGAACAATCTTGTACAACTCTTCTGGATCTTCGCCTGCTCTTTTCGTTGGAACTACAGCATTCGAGCTCATCGTAAAGCAACAGATTAAGCGCTTGGAAGACCCAAGTCTGAAATGTGTTTCATTGGTATATGATGAACTAGTTCGTATCCTCACTCAGCTTCTCGGAAAGCAATTTTTCCGACGCTACCCCGGTTTGAAGGAGAAGTTCCATGCCGTTGTTATAGCTTTCTTCAAAAAGGCTATGGACCCAGCCAACAAGCTGGTCAGAGATTTGGTAGCCATGGAAGCATGCTACATCAACACTGGCCATCCAGATTTCTTGAACGGCCACAGAGCCATGGCCATTGTCAACGAGAAACATAACCCAAAGCCAGTTCAAGTCGATCCTAAAACCGGAAAAGTTCTCCCATCTTCCACCCCAGCCCGAGCATCAAGCCCAGTACTGGATGTTATGCAGGATCAAAATGGTGGATTCTTTGGAAGTTTCTTCGCTGGTAGAAACAAGAAAAAGATGGCAGCCATGGACGCTCCACCACCTACTTTGAAGGCATCTGGGACTCTCTCTGAAAGGGAAGGTGTCGAGGTTGAAGTTATCAGTATGTTTTCCTACTTCGCGCTTGAGAGACTATGCTAACCTGCTTCAGAACTTCTCATCAACTCATACTTTAGCATTGTCAAGAAGACTTTGATCGATATGGTTCCAAAGGCAATTATGCTCAACCTCGTCCAGTAAGTCAGCCCAGGTTTCAAACAGTCTCCACACCAGCTGACCAAGACACAGATTTACAAAAGATGAGATGCAGAAGGAACTTCTCGAAAACATGTACCGAACCGATTCGCTGGAAGAGCTGCTGAAAGAAAGTGACTACACCATCCGCCGAAGAAAGGAGTGCCAACAAATGGTCGAATCATTGTCACGTGCAAACGAAATCGTCAGTCAAGTGCAATAAAGTGAAGAGTATCCTTATTTACCTCGATACTTAATAATCGACATGTATGGAAGGGGTCGGAAATAGAAAATCCGAACACACGAAAGAAAGGCATTGCCAAGGGGATTTCTTTGGCAGTTCATTCATCTCTGCTGTCATCTTAGACTCAGATTCTTCCCTCTTCTTTTACGAGCATCATATTTTGACACGACATGAAATACGATAAATACCTCTTTTCTTTCCCTGGTGGAACTGTAATTGTGATGTTGACGGACAGTCAGCGAGGAAAGATTTGGGGGGAGGCGAGGCTGGTGAGACCTTTTTCGAAATGTGGGCATGAATGGTTTGCTGGAAGGCGGGCTGCTATTCGATCGGCTTAGTGAGTTGATCGCATGAAAACACATACACAGACGAATCTTGGTTTGTTTGGGGGATACGGCATAATGCGAAGAGAGAAGTGTTGAGTAAGGGATGGCACTCTATGTTGTTTATTTTACTTTACCTTTTTCTTCTTCTTCGAAACTACCACTAGATAGTATGAAGTATGAGATTTAGCTTTTCGCCGTCTTCTGTTTTGGTTTGGTGATGATGACCTTGCCTTCGTGTATATAAGCGGGGTTTGGCGTAGCTGTTAGTATTGATATAAAATGAGTGCTTCAACGGCGTGAGAGATAGCCACTCTCTTACTTAAGCAGTGTACCACCAAGGGGCGCAAAAACCCGTAACTGAACAACCGTAGGAAATCCCTTAGTTCCAGATTTCGTGTTTTGTGTAAGCTCCAAGAAAGAATCCAATCTGAAAGATTTATACGAACAATTTCACAGAATCTTTGTTGTTTCAAAAGCATTGTAAGAGTTATTAGAAGTCAAGTGCCTCGAGACCTAAACCACGAAAGCTCATATCCTCTAGTGGTATAATTACCAAGTATTACTTAGGTAATAACAGCAATGTGCAGAGCATTGTCGCAAAGGTACAGTCCACTGTAATCTCGCTTGTCCCAAACCGTAACGGTTCCCCTTTTCCAACTTCGCTTAAATCTATGATCTGAACTATTGCTAATCTATGGTAGGCAATCTCCCCACATGATTTAAAGCTATCTTTTCATGGGAAACATTCTCCACTTTTTAATGAAGCACAATTACTCGAATACAAAGTTTGTGCATGATATTATAACATTAGGAAATTAGCCAATCACAGCTCTTCCCACACGCAGTAACCCCGCTACAGCGCCCGAACACCTCGGCATCACAGGAAAACGATAGCCTTGCAGTCAACCACATAACCAACTTCATGACTAACAAACACCACAAACCACGGTATTCGATGCTTTCCATGTTATACATTCATACTCTCAATTGGATTACTTGAGCCTCCACATTTAGTCGCCATGAACTCTCCACCCTTGACCGGTCTTCGCGTCTTGGAGTTTGCTGGTCTTGCGCCAGGTACGAGAACTCACTAGCAAACTTCCCGACTGTCACTAATACGATTTGCAGGCCCATTTGCAGGTCTGTTGCTCGCAGATAACGGCGCGTCAGTTTTACGAATTGATCGATCAATTCCACATGTAACCCACAGCGCCTCCGCAACCCCATTACCAACGTCCGACCTCCTGACGCGGCACAAATCCTCAATTGCGGCCGATTTGAAATCCCCCTCGGGAATTGACTTCATCAAGTCCTTGATTCCGCATACGGATATTGTAATTGACCCTTTCCGTCCAGGGGTTCTCGAGAAACTTGAGTTGGGACCGGATGTTATACTTGCTCTAAACCCCAAGGCCATCATCGGCCGCATGACGGGATTTCGAAGGGATGGGAAATATAAGGATATGGCTGGTCACGATATCAATTATATTGCCGTTTCAGGAGCATTGTCAATCTTTGGACGGAAAGGAGAGAAGCCACTGCCACCTGCGAATGTCTTGGGTGATTTCGCAGGGGGTGGAGCGACTTTGTTCCAAGGCATTTTATTGGCCTTGATTGCTAGAGAAAAGAGTGGTAAAGGCCAGGTCGTGGAAGCAAATATGGTTGATGGAAGCGCTTATTTAATTACGTTCCCCCGGATGTTGACGAAAACTCTTTTGTGGTCTCGTCCGAGAGGAGAGAATACGTTGGATAGTGGATGTCCTTATTACGATACTTATGAGACCAAGGATGGAAAATACATGGCAGTGGGAGCACTCGAGCCTCAATTTTTTACGCTCTTACTCAAGGGGCTGGGACTTGGTGGAAAGGGAATTGAAGAGACTCGAGAAGATAGGAATACTTGGCCTGCCATGAAAGAAAGTTTCACCGAGATTTTCCTGAGCAAAACAAGATCAGAGTGGGAGCAAATATTCGATAAAACGGATGCATGTTGCACACCAGTTTTGGACAATATCGAGTTAGAACAAGATCCGAATAGAGAAGGGGATCAAAGACCAGCCGTCACTCTTCGAGAAACCCCAAGTCTTGCTCTCTCCCCGGATTCCACAAGCAACCGAGATCCTTCCACGGGACAAGGTACTGGGGTAGATGGTGGTAGTTACACTGGTACTGCATTATATCCCGGCCAAGGCGGGGAAGACACCTTGTCGCAATGGCTTGGTTGGAAAAGGGGAAAAGATTTCGATATTGAGAATGGAGGCTTGGTGAAGAAGTCGAACGCCAAATTATGATTGATCTATTACCAACGTATATCGTTGCTTATTATCCCAGCCTTCATCTTTTCGTTCGGCCGGTGAAGAATACTCATTTCTTTGAAAATGATCTCCCAAAATCCCAACGATCATGCAGGTTGTCCTGTTGCCCTTTCGCAAAGTTGGTGATTGTGCTGAAATATTCCAATTCTTGCCCATGTTTCTAACTCCGTTTTCGTCCCAAAAACACACTATAACGCCGATCTATGACTCTATGAGGATCTTGGTGTCCCTCTTGGAGTCTTTGTGTTCTGTGTTATTTGTTAGCGGGTGTCATTTCTTGGATCCGTCTTATGGTTCCTCAAATTACATACCATATTGCTATCTCTTCAATTGCCACGGCAAACCCCCCGGAAGGACTTGGGGGTGGGCCTGGAGGAGGAGAAGGGGGATCGCCTCTCGACATGTTGTGGGGTGGGATATGTGTCAGAGAGGGCCATCGTAGTTGGGTATTTCTCGTCCTGTGGCCCTCCTCTCCGCTGTATCCATTTCCAGAGGACATCACTGACTCTCTTGGGATAGCCATTTTCTTGCTCTTTGGCTCTTGTTTTTGTAGATACAAACTTTTTCGTATGATATGGTAACAACCAAAAGTCTTGTCTGAGGTGGAGATTTAGGCGGCTGGTGGCGGTTCAGATCTCGCTGACAGGCTTGGAAAAAAGGAAATAATGACTTGGCTCGGAGAATTTGAAAGAACGGTAAGGGGTTGATCGATGTAGCTGATATTTTGCGAGTCTTTTTCTCTCGGTTGTTGACGAGTTATCAGGACCGTTTGAAAGCGGCATACTCACCGCTCTTAAATATCAGCAAGACAGTAGAGTTCCTCGAACAGCCAGCTCGTGCATCTTCCGTTATCAAATGGCCCACTTCGGAAAGTCCTCTCTGAATAGTATTAGTGGTACAATATCGACACTTGTCAGTGTTGAGCCGAGAACGTGATATTGTGAATGTGTAAGTTAGGTACCTTTACTGCTCGCTCCCGGCGGCGGTTGAAAGCCTCATTTTAAGACATTACAGTATGTCTTAGCAGTATACCGTCCACTTATTTTTGCCATCACCATTTTCGCCCTACCATGACAAGAGATATCAAAAAACGAGTTGAGGGTCCTGGATCGACGGATATTTGCCCCGCGGAATTACTGGGCCCTGGTTGCATATGTACTTTATTTTCTCATGCATTCTTGACATTGACTGGAGCTTTCTGATCCCACAGCTTTAGAATCTCGAACGATACCTTCTAACTCATGGCCCCAAGAAAATCTGTTAAGGTGACAAAAAGAGGATTATTTCCGGCTCCGTCCTTTAGGTCCAATGTCACACGGAAAACAGCGTGGCGTAGAAGAGGCGGTATGTGGTGTAGTTCGCCGTTGGTAGGACGTTGGCCGCCTTGCAGTATGGCGCCTTGTTGAGCTTTGTGATGGAAAACGGTCTCACTTTGATACCCGATCCCGAAAGTCATAAAGGGCGGTGGAGAATGGTAGGTGTTCCTTGGATCCCAACTAGCTGGCAACGCGTGACAATGGAGGTAACCTTACTGAAGAACAGGAAACTTGCATTTCATACATCCAATTGGTTGAGAAGAGAAATGATGAACTGGGGATCCGAGAGCATGCACCATGTTACGAAGTCCAAATGTAGAGCAATATCGTCGAGAAGTTGCATCCCCCTTCTGCTGAATTCCAGACCGAAGAGCTAACTCGATCTAGACACCAACCCCAAGCTTTGGGATCGGGATTTTCTTTTGAGCGATACTCGTACAAATCGATGAAGGAGGCGTACAAAAGAGACCGTAAGGCTTAAGGCAAAATTTAATTCGCCGGCTTGGGATTTTACACCGAATCTGAGACCTATGTTGCCGGCTATCTAAGACCCATACTCATGTATCTCCAAGACGCGTACCAGGTCCTAGAGTCGGAAGCTCTAGAAGACCCTTATAAGTGACCAGTCCAACTCTCGCTGGGTGGATGGACGTGAACAAATGAAAAAATCCCAGCGGGACCGCCCCAAACGGCTTCTGTGCTTTTGTACACCGCAAGGCGTTCTCGCTAACTCAATATGATACGCCACTACGCCAGATTGGAAAGGTACAAGATGGCTAATATGGACAGGGGCATCGGAATTGGAAATTAAGGGCTCCTTTTTCTTTCTGGCGGGGACATGGTTTGGGTTGCACGCTGTACGATCGAGTTGCATGGATAGATTAACTTCCCTCGATTTTGTGCGAGGGTGGCTTTGTTGGCTTTTTTCTCTCTCTTTCTATGGGTTGTTGCATGTCGCCCATACAGCGGATAGATTTCCCATATAGTTCGTCGTTCCATACTACGCTCATGGAACGTTTGGTTCCGGGATATGTTGTGCTTGGGAGAGTTGCGGTGAAGGCGACCTGGGTATGGGGAAGGTACGGAAGGTGGAATTGACATGTTTTTCGGTGGGATGATGAGATCTTGGGGATAAGGTACGGAGTGACGCAATCGATGTTGTCTAGATGGTGGGTGCTTATTTTGTGAGCTGTCGTATGGGTAGTGGTTAGACAGATCTGGTTGTGTTCTCCATACTAGTATCAGATAGGAGGGACGTAACAACTTCATCTTTGAATATTTCTACTATTTGTGAAATGACATATAGACTTCCCTTTGAATTACTCTCATTACCCAACTCATCAAATTTGTTTTAGCCCTCATGTTTTTATGAGACAGCTCAAGCGATGGGTGTCAACTCGATCACCTGGATTTCAAACAACGGTCTTCCTGCTAAGTATCAGTAGCATGCTTGTTCTTTAGAAGTATTGTAGCAGGTGCGAAATTTCAAAATGGGGGTTAAGCGAATTTGAAAGGGGGGCATTAGTATAAGCAAACAACGGGAAAACTGAATTTTGCCTCGAGGGAATTAGGTAGCTTTACAGCTCGTGGAATGCATGGCAGAATACGAATATTGATAAATCACTTACTATTTGTACAGGGAAGAACTATCTAATACCCCTATGGGAGGAGTCGGAGGACATGGCTGCTCTGGAAGCTGGGGAAGTGATGTTTTTTTACCTTGGTTTTTTCATGATGCCGATTTACAATGATATTTGAGAAGCTCAGATTTTTGGTTAACACGATGAGAATAGGAAAGGTACAATTCGAGAGTTTAGTTATACTTAGTTCGAGAATAAATCATCATTTAAATAATGTCGTATGTAACTTTTGGTAACAACACTGGTTTTTTAATCCCCTCAATTCATCTACAATTTATGTAATACTATATTACTCAAAAAGAGTAATACAGCGTTACTAGATTTCCCAGATAGGTCACTATATTATTATTATTCACCCGCAGGAAGGGCTCTCGATCCCGGCCAAAACTTCCTCGCCCACATAGGTCGTTAGCATCTCAAAGGCAAAATATGTTGTACAAGAGCCTCTCTTCGGCACAGAGGGCATTCCGGTTTCTCCCTCACCCAATCTCCAATACACGACCAGCAAAAGACGTGCCCGCAAGCCACAGCACTAGGGTCCTTAAGCTCCTCCAAACATAGGGTACACTTCCTCTGTTGAGTGCCTTTGATCCACTTCATTTTGTCTTCAATGCCCAAGTTGATATTTGGTTCATCCGACACCGGTGTATTAGTCACCTTTCCAATCTCTGAGCCTGGCTGAATCAAAGATCCTAAGCGGTCGAAGAGTAATTCGTTGTTTGCGGAATAGGCGTTGGGGTCAAGTGATACTTCCACCCCACCCTGTAGGACAGCGGAACTCCCCAGCAGAGGCTCCGCATTTACTGGTGCTGAGGTTTGAAGTGTGGAACTGAGATGAAGCCATGTTTGTACGGTCATTTGAAGGACCAGTAGAACCCCTAATACCTCATATCCCACTCGCGCTTCGGATGGTGCAATCTTCTTTGTAAATATGTACCGTAGACCCCATAATCGTTTCGAAAGTTGGTAATATGCCCCCGAGAAGTAGAAGACTGTAAGTGTCAGGGCGTGAAACGGAGACGGTGAGGTGATCCTCGAGAGATGCTCTAGCAAATATGACTGAAATTTGTATGACCTGGACGCCTCCTTTTTATATCGTGATAGTTTTCGTAGATTGGATTCGAGTTTCGCTCGTATCCTTGCACGGAATGTGGGCAGGATTTTGTTTATAGAATATGGTAGGAGGATTGAGGTGAGTATATAGCCCGCTCTTCTCGAGATTGCCGGAAGTTGGAGGGTATCGTCTTCAATCTGAACTATATCGCAGTATTCTTCCCCGAGTGTGCGGTTCCCAATAAAGGTTGTAAGGCCAAGGTATAACAACTCTGAAAAGGTTTTGGCTTCGAATGTGTAGGTGTGGATAAAGCGTGCTCCATAGAGCTTCCGTAGGAGGTTGGAGAGGTGGTTTAGGAGAACCCCTTCGAAATACGCATCTTTCTGATGGGACCGAATGATATCTGGTGCCGCAGCGAATGGATAATTGAATGATGGTCCCTCGGTGGCTTTCTCAGTAATATGGTCTGACATGATGAAGGTATTCACGGGGGCTGCAAACCAAAGGGATTTCGCCGCAACTTGATGAGTTGGGAGTTGGGAGTTGGGTAACGGGGAAGCTTTTGACCTCGGTTGAACTGCCATCTCTAGACCCACTTTAAATCGGACCGTGGCTGGTGCGTCCGACCCTGGTTGTGGCGCAAATATATTCTTAGATTTCTACATAGCAGTGGGCTGGAATGACTACGTAGCCTCCTCTCCGTGAACTCGTTCAACAATTTCTCACTTTGACACCCAAACCTACTTTCACCCACCACGTTATTTACTTGAGTTCTTGTGTTCGATGCGGCGTTCTTCTCCTCGGTGAACATGGACGGCGATCCAGCTGTGGAGCCAGAATTGGACTCTTTTAGTTTGACCCTTCCTCTGCCTTATAGAATTGCTTTGGCTATCGTTTTAGGTACCGTCTCTCTGCTGGTATTTTCTGCCACTTCTTATATTGACTAGTATACAGGAGTTTGGGCATGGGGTGTAAATCTACAGTTTCTTTCTCTAGCTAAAATTGTGCGTTGCTCCCCCTCTGTCGCATACGCACACGCATACGCCTACGCATACCCCTTTTATGCTGGGTCGCAAACAATATGAAAGGACTCGCAAATTTAACAGCGTCTTCTAGGATGTCCCACATCTCCTACAGTACCCAGGGAGGAATTCTCCTCGAACCGATCCTCCGCATTACCTCTCAACATACCGACTTGCGACATTTCTCAGTATCCCTTTGGCATTCTCACTCCTCCTCTTCTGGGCCCTCTCTCACCACAACCCAGAACTAGTCATATTCTACGATTTTCTTCCCATATCATATCTCTGCCTCCTCGCAGGCCTCTTCCTCCTTCCCATTCGACAGTTCTCTTCTGCCGGACGTACACGATTTCTCACAACCCTTCGTCGAGTCTCGAAAGGTGGAATTGCGCAAACGGGACAGGGCAAATTTGGAGATATTCTATTAGCAGATGTTTTGACATCGTATGCTAAAATTATCGCAGACCTGTTTGTTGCGCTTTGCATGTTTTTCAGCTCAGATGGGTCCGCAACAAAACGACCAGACCGGGGATGTGGAGGGGAATACATAGTGCCAATCGTCATCGCCATCCCGTCAATGATCCGGTTGCGTCAATGTATAATTGAATACCTCCGAGTACGAGCCAGCAATCGACGAAATGGAGGAATAGGTTCTCAGGGATGGGGAGGCCAGCATTTAGCAAACGCTTTGAAATATTCAACCGCATTTCCCGTCATCATTTTCTCTGCGCTGCAACGAAACTTGAGTCGAAACCACGAAGATATAGGGGTCACAGCAAAGACCCTTTACCGCCTCTGGGTTTTTGCTGTCTTCACGAATAGCATGTACAGCTTCTACTGGGATGTGGTCAAGGATTGGGATCTAACACTCTTCTCCCCGAAACGCACTTCGGCCTCTCACCCCTTCGGTCTTCGTGCCCGACTTTTCTTTCCGGCAAAGGAAATCTACTACGTCGCTATCGGAACCGATTTTCTCCTCCGATGTACTTGGTCCCTCAAGCTCTCTCCTCATCTTGACCACTTTGCGGATTTTGAAAGTGGTATCTTCTTATTGGAGATTTTGGAGGTTATAAGGAGATGGATATGGATATTCTTCCGTGTGGAAACAGAATGGGGGAGGGGTGTCAACTTAGCCAATCTGGGTGCTCCCGGACAAGGCGATGTGCTATTAGAAGATTACGATAGTGAAAGGGACGACAGTGATTAGATTTCCTGATTTCTTAGCTTTTGTTGTAAAAATATCCCAGGGTTAGGATTACGACTTGGCGTTTTTATGGGTTACCTGGTGGTTGGTTTATATGAATTATGTTACTTTGAAACGCATAGATAAATATATAGATGCTCAAGGACTTTATATGTAACGTTCATTTAAATGTAGATGTAAGAGGTGTACTAAATTGAGACTCGATTTGGGTAGCCTACTCGGGTACGGCTATGGTATTGCTTTTCATCCCAACCAAAAGAACTAACTAGGTTCATTCAGCCCTACAGACAAGACTACGAAATAAAGTTGTCCCGTCCGCCCCGACCTGCACATTCAAATGCCGACCTCCCGCCGGAATCGGCCTCAAGATTTTATGACTCCCAGGAACTCCTACAACTCTAAATATCAGAACTGACAAATTCCATTCTCCATTACTCCACCAGGCCTTTTCAAATACTTCATCAACCCATCATGGCTCCCAGATTTCCCACCAAGAAGGTTGGTAAGTCATCCATTGAGCTCCCTCCCCATTGCGCATCGCATCGCGGGGCAATTCCACCCCGCCAAAACCAAGAGCAATTCCTAACACTTCACAGGCGTACTGGGCTGCACAGGTTCCGTCGGCCAAAGATTCATCCTCCTCCTCGCTCAACATCCTCACTTCGTTCTACATGCCGTGGGAGCTTCGTCGCGATCGGCCGGCAAGAAATATAAAGATGCGGTGAATTGGAAGCAGGCTTCGCCAATGGGCAAGCATGTTGAGGAATTGATTGTGAAGGAGTGTAAAGCTAGTGAATTTGCCGATTGCGATATCGTGTTCAGTGGGTTGGATGCTGATGTTGCGGGAGAAATTGGTGGGTGCATTTTATGAAGAGAAAGAATGGTGTACTAATGAGCACTGTAGAGATGGAGTTTTTGAAGGCTGAACTGGCAGTCTTTTCGAATGCTAAGAACTACCGGAAGGATCCTCTTGTTCCTCTTATCGTTCCTACAGTCAACCTACCTCATTTTGAGGTTATTCCACATCAAAGAAGGCATTATGGCTTGAAGAAGGGGTTTTTGGTCTGCAACTCGAATTGTGCTGTTATTGGCATAGTCATTCCATTCGCAGCAATACAGAAGGAGTTTGGAGAGGTCTACCAAGTCAGTGTAGTTACCATGCAAGCTGTTTCTGGCGCTGGGTATCCTGGAGTCAGCAGTATGGATATTCTGGACAACGTGGTACCATACATTTCCGGAGAAGAAGACAAATTAGAGAACGAGGCTCAGAAGATCTTGGGGAAGGTCAACGGAGAAGTTACGGGTTTCTTACATCAATCGGATTTGAAAATCTCAGCTGCTTGTAACAGAGTTGCTGTTTTGGATGGTCATATGGCGTGTGTTTCTCTGAGATTCAAGAATAGGGATGGACCAAAACCTACGGCAGAGGCGGTTAAGAAGGCATTGAGTTCTTACGTGAGTGAAGCGCAGATTTTGGGATGTCCATCGGCTCCTCAACCTTCGATAATGGTCATGGAAGAAGCAGACAGACCTCAACCAAGACTGGATCGAGATACGCAAAATGGGTATACGGTCAGTGTCGGACGAGTTAGACAAGATGATAGTGGTATCTTTGATTTGAAGTTCGTTGCTTTGAGTCATAATAGTAAGTTCTTTCTCAGGTTATTTTTATCCAACAAGTACTGACTATCTTTAGCTGTTATTGGAGCTGCAGGATCATCAATATTGAATGCGGAAGCTGCTGTCCTCAAGGGCTATATATAATCTTCAAATAGAATCTTAATACTCCTCGTCCAAACATAAACAGGACGTGCACATAATTTGCATTTTCTCTCCGGGATAGGTATGCTTTTCTTATGGGCAAGCTGATAAATTGTATGCTCAAAACAGAAGTTTATCTGTCTAGAAAGGATCGCGACCACTGCAATATGAGCATTCTGTAAGGCTACCCGTCAATTCTTGGTCAATCAGAAAAAAGGACGAAGGAAAAGAGGAGAGGTAAGAAAAGTTACCTGTTATATATTCATGGACCTCAGTTCATTGTTATTGAATATTAAAAAAGAAGAGTGTCTCATGCCAAGATAAGAGTCGCTAAGCGAGCAACTCTTTATAACATATTTGAGGTAAATAGCGTCCATTTGGAAAGAACTTTCTTACTATAAGTATGACCGATAAGATCTATCAATGGGGAATCGGAAATACCGTTGAGAGGTCTTGTCATTGTTTTATTGTAATTTATTTCACAGAAGTCACTCATTGGATAGCTCGTTAGACTCGCTTACTCACGCCGGTTTCATATGTTATGATTTCTATTATGGATGCATACTATAATTGTGATGTGGCAGTATACCATATGACTCAACTGGCGAAGTTGTATCTTCATCCCCAAGCGATGTTCGGCGTGCTCAATCGGGTGATGATCTGCAGCTATAGGTTGCACACAGCACATACGCGTGTACCTTCGGTAACAAGAACGGAAAAGCTATCCTTCGATAATTCGTGGTATTGATGATCTGGGGGCCATTTTCAGTCTAAAGTTTGACTTATTAGAAAAGTCCTCGAAACAAAAATAAATGGAGCTTCATCAGTGCTCAGGTATAAGACATTGATGCGTTCCCTCACAATCTAATATTTCAGACATCAATCACAATATACCCTTTATTCTCCTTCAAGATGAACAAGCCAAATACAAAACCCTACCATCTCCCAGAGGATGCGATCTGGCTGAGTAAGTATCCCCTTTCCACAAAACATACGATTGCCATTGACTCCATCACAGTCACCGGCTGCTCCAGCGGAATCAGCCGTGAAATCGTGAAATACGTAGCGGACAAATCCCAAAGTCTCATAGTCACAGCCCGAGACCCATCATCCCTCTCTTACCTCCCAGACAACGACCCAAGAATCTTCAAGCACGCATTAGACGTCACCTCGCCCACATCCATCGACGCAGCCTTCAAAGCAGCAACTGCGCATTTCGGAGATAGCTTCCATATCGACGTTGTCGTCAACAATGCCGGGTACTCGCTGTCGGGTGATACCGAATCGGCCACGGAGGAGCAAACGCATGATGAGATGGAGACGTTGTTTTTCGGTACGGCGCGTGTTACGATGAGAGCTATTGAGATTATGCGGCAGGAAATATATCAGCCTGGGGGTTTGATCTTTAATATCTCTTCTTTGGCGGGGGTTTGTGCGTTTCAGGGACATGCTTATTATCATGCTGGGAAACACGCGATTGAAGGCTGGAGTGAGTCTGTTGCTACAGAAATGCATCCGGATTGGAATAGTACATCACCCCCTCATCTCATCCACAGACAATCTTTGCTAATTAGTGTAAATAGTCAATTTCTGTATCGTCGAACCAGCTGGCGTCAAGACTAATTTCGAAGGCGGCAGCAAGAAATATATGGATCCCCATCCTGCTTACACAGGTGCCGATATGCCCTCTCGACAATTAGACGTCATCGTCAAGCAAGCTTTGCAGAGTGGCGCGGGGATTGAACCTAGTGCTATTGCTGAAGCTTTGTTCAAGATTGCAAGCAGAGAGGAGAAGGTTCCGCTTCATTTACCGCTTGGAGCTACGGCTTTTCAGTTGATTAGGATGAAGTTGCAGAGTCGGTTGGCCGAGTTGGATGCGTTGGAGGAGTTTGGTACAGTATGATTGATCGGATGTGATCATGTAAGGTGATGATGAATTATTTTGTCGTTTACGGTGTTCTTTTTACGGGTACCTGGTGCGATGAAATGTGACCTGGTCGTTGATTTGTTTCCACTATGCCTATACTTCTCATAGACAGCGGGGATATTTGATGTATACTAGACTCCTATCACTTGAACTTTATCTAAGCTAGCAAGCTCTCGTCTTTAGATGTCTCCTGCCAGAAATTTCAACTTTGTAAGATTACAGTCTACGTATAGAAATTTATCAGGCTATTGCTCCATTCAAAACTTGCATTCCGTGTTGTTCTCCGTCAAAGCATTCCCGTACGTTAATGGCTCTAGAGTTCCCCCCTCTTCACCAAAAGTTATAAGCTCTCCATACTTTCTTTTTCTTCATCGACCTGTCTCTTATTTAACGTTCGGCACTCAGAATACAATTCCAAGAATTTCTAAGATTCTATTCTAAGGTAGAATACTCTAAAGGCTCTTTGATTGAGAACGGAACATTTCAAAGGATAAGGCTCTAGAGTCTAGACTCTAGAATTCTAAACAGAATGTACAAGTAGCTTTTCGGCTAATAAACGAGCTTGTTTTTATAGTGAGACAAGCTCCCGGTGGACAAGAAAAGTAGTACTGTAGCAGAGATCTCTCTTTTCTTATCCTAACTTAACTGAAAACTACTATATTATATTATCTATTTAGAATGATTAAAATAATTTATTGAAAACAATAGCATAACAAGCGCAATTGTTCTAGATATTTTGAATATTTTAGTACTTGGAATTAACTTACGCTGATAGTTAAAAAAATGAGTCTCTGCTACTTTTCTTGTCCACCGGGAGACAACTTATTATATTAGAAAATAGTTAGTAATTTACTATTAGCTATTTATATACTACCTTAAGTATCTCTTACTAGAGTAGCCGACTCCTAGGTAAATCTAACAAATAGTCTTATACTTAGTAATCTTAGTAGCAAGGATTATAAGCTTCTTACTAGTCGGATGCACGAGAATAATTATACTATATGTTACATAATAGGTTCTATTCTAGAATTCTAGATTCTATAGTGGAAATATAGAGTGTTCCAGACCCTCTTTAAATTAGAACAGCATCTTCTATATAGAGGGTCTGGAATAGAATGGAATTCTAAGTGCCGAACGTTACTCTCATTTAAGTGCTGTTTATCTGAGTGTGATCTCGATAGTATAACCATTAATATGAAGAGCCCTAAGTGAAAGAGTAATAACTACTTCGAAGCTATCTTTTCCACGTTCCTTCGAGGCTATCTCTACACCGGCCCCCATGTTAACAGGTTATCATTAATAAAGGCTATAGCATCTCTAAGTCTAAAAACAAAGGTGTAAAAAACCAAGTTTTCCAATAAATTCCACGAAAAATCAAAAGTCGTAGTAATAATCGCAGCCTTATAGGATATGAAAATTCATAACTCCTTAAGCGAGCCTAGTTATATACTTAATCCCTACCCTTCATTGTTACATGAAAGTATTGTCCTCTAGCCTATAAAGTAAGCATTACTGAGTTTCCTTTAATCTATTAGCAGAAGTTTAATCTTTAATGATTACACTACTCCTTGGCACATATGGTGCGAGGTAATTAAAACTTGGAGTCAAGGGAGCTCAATTTGCTTCAAGAGAACCATATTAATCTAGTGTAAATGGTAGGTATGGAAGGGAAACAATTTAGTTCCGTGGCAGCTTGGGTCCACGAACGTAATAGGCTTGAGACACTCAAGCTATTCGTACAACTTTCAGAACAGCCCACGTTGTGCGGCTGGGCCCGAGGAGAGGGTGTGGTGTGGTGTCTAGAGATAGTCTAGGTATTCTAGGTAATGAACAGGCACCAGTGGTGCACGGGCCAAAAAAAACTCCCGCTTACTTTGTCCAGCTGGTGACAGGAAGAGGATTAAGAGGCAGAGAGGAAGAGAGGCTAGTAAAGTAAAGAAGACATAGTACCTAATCCACTCATTCCTCTCGCCTAACTTCACCCCCCTCCCACCACCATCCCCAAAACTCCCTAAACTAAAAACCCTACAAACATAAAACCAGAACGTACAAAACGATAAAAAAAAAAAACAGCAAAAAGTCTGCACCACCCACTCTGCTACAAGTGCTGGCAGGACCAGCTAGCCACATTGTTCCTGACTTTCATCCCAAAGACAACTACTCTAGACTAATGTTTTGCCTTGCAAAGGAGACCAACTGCGTTAACCAACGCGCCATTTTGTGGTGCGTTGCGGGATTTGCTCAATTTTGCATGCTGAAGGATGCGTTATTTGTGGTCTTGATGTGTGGAGAGGTTGGGTGAATGGAAAAGGTTTTGTTGAAGGAAGTGGTCATGTGATTATATGTCTTATCATGGCTGGAGTGGAGGTGCCTAACTTGATATACTAGGTTTACTTCAGGGTTCTCGTGATATTACACTTAATATAACATATATGTTTTCATCTAATCTTACTTATATAACTTTACTAGGTTATGTACTAGACTTATAGATAAAGCGCGAGACAAGGATATAAGAAAGGAAAACACGAACCCGTATAAACTTAAGTATAAAATCAAAGTTATATTACAAACCCTTACGATTTCTTCTATAATATTAGGTAAATTAAAGATTAGACATAACTGAACTAAAACCCAGTGTGGATCAGCAGGAAGCGATGCTATAGCTAGGTGACAATATCTTATACTAAAGATGGGACTTCCAGCTTATTTCTTATAATTCTTAGACTAGTATAATTGAATATAGATGACTACTTTTAGAGATGAAGATATAAAGAGCAACGCCCCTTTCCTACACAAGCGTTCAGTACAAAAGAAATAAATCTACTTTTCTTCCCCTCCAAATACCTCGAAAGGCCCTCCTCCATCACAATTTACCAAGCCTCGAGCAGTGGCAATTACCTATGGGTGAAGATCTTTCCAAGGCACATTCACTTAAAACCGTCCACTTCGCCACATGATCACATCCCATTCACAACATCAACTCATAAGCTATAAACTCCCTTCCTTCTAAGCCCCTCTTCTTACTTTTACTCTTCCATAAACCATCTATAACCCCACCACTATAACTCCATACCCTCATCAAAAAAAACCTACAACCACGAACCACTAACCTCTAAACCTAAATACACAACACTACCAGCTTAAAACAAAATGCTTTCCCCCCCTCTCTCCCTCTCTCTCAATAATATACTACTGCCCCTGCCTGCCAGAAAAAAGGGGATCGGTTTATTAACAAGACCTACTCTGTGTGACGAAACCGGTATCTAAGTAACTAAAGGTATCGAGTTCGACTGTTGGTATGCGGGAAAGAAGACAACTATCAGGTCGTGTGTTTACTCAAAGGTAAACTCGTCACTTGTACAAAGTAGTCAAGGCAGCAAAGGTATTGAATGCAATGTAAACTAAGTTGAGCACGAAGCTACTATCTAATGGCAGATGTGCCAGTGTTATATAGAACCTTCGTTCTCCGGATCCCAGGACCCCTTTGGATCCCCAAGGGATCCTTTAGTGTCAATCACGTGACTATAACCAAGTGAAATCCCTGGATCGCTTAGCTAGTCTAATCGATCCCTATTTGCTATAAGTCTACGGATGTGCTCGACCTGTCAGGACGCCGCCTGGTCTTCACTCTTCACGTGCTAACACGTGATTTGTGAGACTCTGTTCCGATGTACCCACCATTATTTTTATTAGTTAATAAATTCGATTTATTAACTAATTCGGCGCTAATATCGGCGTTTGTAAGCTATTTTTTAGAGTTACTATTATTACTTATTTAGGTAAAAATAAAGCTATTACTACTTTTATTTATTTATATATATACTTATCCTTTTTTAGCCTTTTCTTCTACCTTAGTTTAGTATTTAATCGATTCCTTTTTAAAGAAGGAGATTTCTTAATGTCTAAACTCTCTATTCTACCCCTTACTTCACTCGATTAACGAATTATATCTTTAGTTTCTGTGACAGACGTGCTTCAGGTAGAACTCAGAACAATTAACACTCTATTCTTAGGACAAAAGACGAGGAAAGAAGGAGAGCTCTAGTGAGCTGGGAACTAAATACAGGTCGTGCGCGCTAGCGCCTCGCTAAGCGAGCATGTGACATCCAGCCCTCGTGACCATAACCGTCACAGTTTCTCTTATAAATTACTTATCTAGCTTCTCTTATACTACTACTACTTTAGCCTCCTAAGACTTAAGTATATACCGGGGGGTACGAGATAGTATTTCCGCTAGGGGGGGGGTAAATACAGGTCGTGCGCGCTAGCGCCTCGCTAAGCGAGCATGTGACATCCAGCCCTCGTGACCATAACCGTCACAGTTTCTCTTATAAATTACTTATCTAGCTTCTCTTATACTACTACTACTTTAGCCTCCTAAGACTTAAGTATATACCGGGGGGTACGAGATAGTATTTCCGCTAGGGGGGGGGATTAGGAGAGGGATTTTATCTATAATTACTTTTCCTATAGCTTATTATATACCTACTATCTTCCTACTATAAAACTAAGTAATAGTAGCTAGGAGGATTATCTTCTTTTAGTCTATTAGTTTATCTAGAATTCCGAAGGTTTTACTATTTATAATAGCTTTAAAATTAGAACCTTAGTAAGAGCCTTTAAGTTATCTAAAAGAATAGAGAAGTATATATATGTAGTATACCTTTTTAATTACCTAGTAAGATAATCTTAGTACTTTACCTATTAGTTTATTTTTAATAGGAATAGCTAGTATTATAATATCGCTAATAGTAAAAGATAAAGCTATTCTACTCTTCTTTATTATAAGATTTACCTAGCTCTTATCATACTCTAGGACTCTTTTTAAGAGTATAGAAAGTATAAAAGTCTCGGTTTCCTTATTATTTTTAGTAGTTAAAAGAAGCTTAGTATCTATATTCTAAATAGAAGTATTAATTACCTAGTTAAAATTAGTGGTATTCTTATTTTATAGACTAGTGTAACGAATACTCAAACTGGCTAACTAAACTTGGCTGGGTGTTCGCTGGTTGGTATGCTATGATAAGAAGAAGACTATCGGGTTGTTCACTTGGAAGTGAACTCGTTACTTGTATCAAAGATGTCAAACTAATATGATAAGATTGATAACTAAGTTGAGCACGAAGCTCCTATCTAATGGCAGAC